AGAAGAAGAGGAAAGGAAAAGTTCGATTCGATCCCTTTTTTTTGTCCTTTTCTCTTCGACGAAAATATCGCGCCATCAGACCGCATCGCAATTTTCCAACCCTTCGATTATGCGGAATCGCGATAACCGACTGCTTTGCCTCGCATCGGTTACGTGCATCATAATCCTATACACCTCTTTGTCATGCGAATCGCTTTATCTTCCTATTCGAATAATTGCACAAAAAAAAAGTAGCACAGAAGAGATCGATGATCGAAAAAAAAGAAATATGAATTATTCTGATTCTTATTCGATCAAAGTGTTATTTCAGTTTACTTTTCATATAGAATTATAGATAATAAATATCATTTACGGAGAAACAAACTAGGTTAAATGTGGAGTCCAGTCTCAGCCAAGGATTAAGAGAACAATTTTCAATTATTTTCTGTCGTCACTTTTTAAAAGTCTTCGAGAAGGATGATCGAACGCGAAAAATCGTAAAAATTGGCATTCGAAGAAGTAGAAAAAAAGGAAAGGAGAGATTAAAATTGAGGCGATTATGGACGGAGAAAGAAAGGAGAGAAACGTGAAAATTGATTGTACTGCATTGCACGCGCAACCATTAACTATTAACGCGATGCGAGCGCCACCGATCCTGGCTGCGGTGGTGTATCGCATCGATAAAAATGAGCTCGAAACGTTTGCATCACGTTCGGAAATTCCGCGTGTTTCGATAACACAGAAGTTTTCCGTGATAACGTAACCGGTAATGGCACGAAACGAAAGCTCGCGTAATAGGCGTAATTTCCTCGATTCGACGCCGAACGAATCGAAACGTTGTTGCCACGATCCTAACCTTAAAAACGTTATTCATGCCGAGAAAAATAATAAATTTCGTCGATATCCAACTTGTTGTTCCGTATATACGTATCGTTACGAGTAATTTTATCATATATTATTATTATTTATGAAACTTCATTGCCCCGGAATAATATTACGGTATATTTTAATATTGTAATATACGAAATTATCTTGTGCAATTGGATCTGGATTGAAGTAACATTTGAGATTCGTAATTTAAAAAAAAGTATTAATTTAAATAAATCATAATTTTCTACAAAAATCACGAAAAATAAAGTAATGAAATTCAAAAGAAAAGATATATATGCAATTTGGAAACGTGTTAACATCGCAATACCAGTAATATCTTGTTTCGCGAAAAATAAGGAGAATTCTCCGAATGTCAGAAATATCAGGATACATAACATGTCGATCACACATTTAATATTCATCAACGTATCCAAAAGATCGAATTCCAAATATCCAAAGAATCGAATTTATCTCTGGCAAGGAATACGACGATTAGAAATTCGGGTCGAATGAATGAATTCGGGGGTTCGTCTTTTCGAAACGGAAGTTTTAACAAACGTACGTAAAATTCACCGTGTTTTCCTTTTGTACTCTCTCTGTACAAATTTATTTCCACCACCTCCCCTCCTCGACACAAGTGTAATTTCGAATATCACTTTGTCGCGTGCGCGAATGTCCGGCTTATCAGATTTTCCGCACGCTGTTGTTCCAACGGTGGAAAGAACGTTGTGGATAAATAACCGGTCGCGAGGATGGTTGCATAAAGCGATATTGTCACGTATGATAAACTGGAAGGAGATAAGAGATTTTGAGTATTTTTCTTCTTTTTTCTTCTTTTTTAGGTTAGAGATATAAATCTTTGTGCAAATTATTATATATGAAAATGGAAAAAGTAGGGTTAGATTTTTGAAAATTACCTTAATTCAGGGACGGATTAAAAGTCAAGCGAAATGATAATATGTAATTGTCGATTATCGTGTTCCGAGAGATTTTGTGCTTTTCGTTATTAAAAGATTCCGTAGAGAAGACGATAGATTTTAATTTAAAAAGGAAAATTAAACGTGCAAAACATTCTTAACTCCTGAAGAAGTTAAAAAAAAGTTCGAACCATTTTCAGTTCTTCGGGATAAGAAAAAAAATACAAGGTTAGAGAGATTCTTAATTTTTACGATGTTAGAAATAAACGATGAAAAATACGAAAGGAGTTTAAGCCACCTTCTCGAATGAAAATTCCATATGATCTCGATCGAAATCGTTTTTCCCCGAAAATTCTCAACTCTTGGTGAACGAATAAACACGGATGGAAATTCGATCGATTTCCTCCCACCCCAGGAAAAATTACAGCGTCGAGAGAGTTGAACGAATGATTCGTTCCTCGGCGAATTACAGGCTTCCTGAATCCCTTCTTAGAAAACCGAGGGTAAACTTGCGAGTATCATCGGGGCAGAAAGCCTATTTGATTTATTTTAAGCCCCGCAAACTGATTCGTCCGCGTAATACTTCGACCGACCACATCTGTTCCAATATTTTTTGTTTTTTTTTGTTTTTTTTTTTTACGATTTATAACAATTAATAATAAGCTCTTGCAACTGAAAACTTGCATCGTTGCATATCTTTTCTTTTCTTTTCGTGGACGCGATATAAATATAAGTATCTACGTTTTTGAATTGCAAGTAAAGAATTGGGAAGAAAGGAATTATTATTTTTCTGCAATGGAATATTATAGAGCTTTTCTTCGAGATATAATAGTGTATATTTTAATAGTGTTCGATTTTTTGAAGTTCGAGATGGAGAAAGATACATTCTTACTAATCTAATTTTCAGGAAAATGGCCCACAATTTCTCAGAGAAGTTTTTATCAAGAATATCTCCGTTTCTTCTTAGGTTTAAGTTATTCGTCATTTCAAAGGGGGCAAAATAAAATTCCTCCAAATCCTAATTAAAATCTAAATGCTTCTTCTTCTTCTTCTTCTACACTCGAAATAAATTAAGAATGCGAGCGAGAAAATTTAAAATTTAAAATTTATTATTATTCCCTTAATCTATTGCAAATATTTGGAGAAAAGAAAAAACAAAAATTGAGAAAATTAGGTTGTGTCGATAATTCTCCTCTGAGATGAAAATATTCGACGATTAAAATTGAATTTGAATAATTTTCACTTGGCAATAATATGTATTCGTTATAATGAGGAATATGTGGTACGCATGCTTTGACGAGTTTCTTATCGAATTTTTATTATCACAAGCATTCCCTTTCTGTATTTTTCAAAGCGTTTGCATCAGTGGATTAATACGAGATTATGACGTATAATAAAACAGCAGTTTGCCCGATATGCGCTTATATGTGTGTCGTAAACTCAGCGTGTATCGAAATTCTTTTTTTTTTTTTTTTAGATGAAATAAGATTAAAAAAAAAACTTCACAACAAATTAAATTTCTTCTCGAGAATTAATCGGATTAAATCTTTAAAAGAGTCAGATTTTACGTTTACTTATATTTTGTTTAGAAAGAAATTAATTGTATTTGATCAAAATGTTGAGATTTTTTTTTTAACAATCTATGAGTAATGATAAAAATAATAATAATGATATGTTTTATATTATTTTTTAATATTGATGCTCGAATATCTATAATAAAAATAATTTTTCCAATACCTTAAGCTTCTGATCTTATTATTAGAAGAGAAAATATCTCTGGTTAAGCGTTTCACTCCATTTTTCCCTGAATACATTAATGTTCTTTAATATCTGAAAGCACATAGACTTTTCTAATAAAATTTTATAACCATATTCCACGATATTCTGTTCCCCATTTTTAAATAACCTCTTTTCTCATACGTGGAACGAGCAAGAGCCAAAAAAAAAAAAGGAAATAAAGAAAGATTCGCGCGAAATTTTTTTTTTTGCTCCATTTAGATATAGATTTCTAGTGGCTTTGTAATATTTGACAGACAGAGAGACCTTTCTAATAAAATTTTATCATACTCTTGTAATATTCTTGAAATCATCGTTTCCCTGGATGAGGATTTCTGAACCTTCTTAACCTTCGGATAAGAATCTGAAAAATACAAAATATTACTTTCAGAATATATCATTTTTATTATAAAACCTAAAATGACCCTTTTTTCGTTTATCTTAACTAGATATAAATTTTCATTGATTTTATAATAATTGATTTTCACAAGATCATCTGAGAAATGATAAATTTTGTAAATATATATATAATCGTGGAATTATAATTTGTTTTAGAACCACAAACTTTCTCTTTAAAAAGTTATAATAAGTTATAACGTTCGTACTAATCCTTAGACAAATGTTTCTTTTTCGAAATGAAAAAAAAAAAAAAGAAAGAAAGAAAAATTCAAATGACACGTGCTTTCGTTTCTGATTTCAGCCGGTGGGTTTCGTGACTTTTCACACGAGGGCCGGTGCAGAGGCGGCGAAACAGGACCTTCAGGTAATACCCCGTTTCACGACACAGGCATCGAGAGAGAAAAAGATGCTCGATAAAAACGCGAGAGAGCTCCCGCGAGCTCCCTTACAATTACATCCATCTTCTTTCTCTCTGTGTACGACTATATACAATATATATATATATTACACATAAAGTACAAAGAAACTGCCCCGCAATTTTCTCTCCTCCCTACGTACTTTTTTTTTATCATTTTTTTTCTCTCTCTCTCTCTTCCTCTCTCTTCCCTCTCTTCTTCTCTTCAGATTCTTTTCTTAAGATAAATATGAAAATACACACCCTTGCCTTAGATTCCAGCTGGCACGGGTTAATGCTATTACCTCTTTAGTAGCTCTTTACCTATCAATTACCGTACACACGTACTTACACTGTTCTTTTCAGTTAAAATGCTTTATCTTGCAGTTCTTTTTTTTTTTTTTGAGATCTGAAATTACATATTCTTGATAGCTAAATAAAGATACCTTATTTATTTTAGATATTGATCGATTTTCCATAGATTTGTTCTCAAAGATCTATTTCATCCTATTAAAAATGAAATTTTTAATAATCTAAATTTGTTATATTAAAATTCGCAAGATGTTCGACAAACATTTGATTAAATTTTAATTGAGAAGAACAATACCTACATATTTTTTTCCCTCTCTATTATATACATAAAGTCTCTCTGTTTCTATACTCTTTAAGATTTAGCTTCTTCCTGTTTCTTTTACACCTGGGACGAATCCGTAGTATCAACTACCCATGTTACTCCGTGTACGTATACCAAGATCGTATTGTAATAACGCTGGTTGCACCGTGTGACATTATCGTATTGAAATATACCTATATAGATATGGTGTTGTTTTGCCTCCTGATAAGCGTGTCACGCCCCCCTCCTTTTTATCCTCTTCGACTCAACCCCCTTTCTTTCTGTCTCTCTTTCTCTCTCTCTCTCTATATATATATATTCTATTTCTTTCTTTCTCTCTCTCTTTCTTACATCACAGAATCAAAATTTAATTCGAAATCGTATTACGACTCAAACGTCTAATCTCACGATTCGAAAACATATTTGGAAATTACGTTTTAACAAATGTCACAGGATTACACTGTAGACGAAACATGTAAACATGCAGAACATTGAAAGTACAGAGAAATCAGTTCAGATGTAAACTGTTAAGAATAATCGTACGAGTTTAATATTTATATAATTCTATTACTAAAATTCATACCTTCTATATTTCTAATTTCTGTGTCCAAAATTTTTCCAAAATTTTACTTTCCATTCACTGTCTATTTTCAATAAACACAAAGAGAAACGAATTCAAGTCTATAAGACGCAAATATTCCTTGTTATAACATAATTTTATCTGTACAACACTTTCAATTTTAAAGTTGAAGCTAAAAAAGAAGAAAAATCGTATACAATAAAATATTTAAATCAAACGTGATGTTATAATTTTTACTTTATTAAATCGCGAAAATTTACTCACCAAAGTTTACATTACACGGTATACATACAAACGTGTATGCAAATATTTATATTACTTACACACACATGCGCGCGTACACCGTATGATTCTACTTTATTTCTTTTTTTCTTTCTTTCCCCTCGTAATCACACCACCGCAATCGATCTCACGCAAGTTGCAATGTCTTTTATAACCCTGTATAACCGGTTACGTACGAGAGAGAGACTGGAAACATCCTCTTGTCGGATGGACACGTTCGCTGAAAACAGGCTGGAACAGACTAACGAACGACCCACTTCTATCGATAGCTACTGTATCAACAGTAGGGACATTCACACACAAACACACGTGTACACACGAGAGGCACGATCTTGTGCTAATTTTCCTGTTATTCGGTCACCAGCTGACAGACCCCTGATATACAATCGTATCGTTTCTGCCAAGAAAACTTTCGTTGCCAGTCTGTTGACTGAATTTTTTTTTTCTTCTCTCTCTGAAAAGAAAAGATAATGTTGAACACCATGTATACGAAATTGAATAATTTTTCCTTAATACATATGATCTAAAATTCTATCTAAAATTTATATTAATATTTCCTTGTTTAATAAAAATCATGAAAATTGGAAAATTAGTGAGAAAACTCGATTGACTAACGATATCACGAGACAAAAATTCAATTGTCGAGCAATGATCAGTTAAATACAAAATTTCACTGGCAACGAAACGCTTTTGAGCAAACAGAAGATCGTTAAGCGTGATTTCTCACCTTTCTCTCTCTTTCTCTTTCTCTCTCTCTCTCTCTCTCTCTATCTCTCTTTGTACTCTTCCTCACACAAATCCAAGCATCCACGTGTGCCTCCCGGTTTACTAATTTAGGGAATCTATTTGCAGCAGGGGGTTAGATTCGATCCTGATATGCCACAAACCATACGTTTGGAATTTGCAAAAAGTAACACAAAGGTTAGCAAACCCAAGCAACCAGCCGCTGCAGCAGCCACCTCGCACCCTGCTCTGATGCACCCTCTAACTGGACGTAAGTATGCACCGCCACTCGTTCACTCGCTGGATACGTTCTCACTACTATTCTCACCCACTGCACCCACTACAACGTATCTTCCTCCCTGTTGTTTCTCTCTCTATCTCTTTTTCTATTCCACCACCTATGTCTATCTTATCTCTTGAAGTGTATTTTTAAATTGACATATATATATATACGTATATTTTTTTTTTAATTCTTTTTTTTTTTTTTCTAACCCGTTCCACAACCCCACACGATCCCCCAATTTTTCAACCTCTTCTACGACGTACAGGACACGTTGGACAGACGATGGAAATGGTGCGATAAAACGCGATTGGAAGAAATAATTGTTTGTTGAAGAAAGAAAATCTCCCTGCTTTTAAATGGCAAGTTTACGATAAGAAATCAATGATAATTGATAAAATAATAAATGTATTCCTCGTTTTTACGTTTTAAATTGAAATAAATATATTTCTCTCCGTAAAACTTGTCAACGTTTTAAATTGATTAGAACTTTTCTACACGTATGACGAATTTATAAACTATTTGCAAAAATCTTGGAAATTTAATATACCCCGCAAGAGAATTTCAATAACGAATAATAATAAATTTCCTAATTACATTTTATTTAAAATTCGCGCGAATTCCATTTCGTGTCGGAGTCGACATATTAACTCGACTCGAAGCATTAATATCAATAAAATTTCACCGGGATATGGGATACATCCCAGCATGGAAATTTGCCGCGAGAAAATTAATTATCGCACCTTCCACCGCTGTCCGATCGGTTTGATATCGTGTGTGGGCATGCGTTTTCCTCGCGTTCTTTTCGGTTATCTTGCGGAACAATAGACGTCAATATTAACTCTATCGATCATCCAACGTACAGCCAACGTTTCGTGATGCGCTCGAACGTAACTGAAACTCCGGTGTGCCAATACGCTTCTTCTTTTTTTATTTGCATTCAAAGAAGAAAATTCTGAAAGGGAAATGGGATTTATCACGTTACGTTCGTCCGTGTCACGTTATATATCCTAATCGTTAGTTTAAGCTGATAAAATTAGAGAATAGAAAAAAAGAATTGGAAAGAGAAATTTTCAAATATATGTATAATTATTGTTTAATCTTTATAGGAATACCTTGCAGTTTCACGCAATTTTAATGTAACTTTTTCCTTTCGTGCGAAATCTTAACTTAAACTTTTTCGATCAATAATCAAAAACTTTTATTTTTATTTCCGTGTAAACAGTCCATTTTTCTTCGTCCAAAAAGAAGAAATCCTTCACTTTTAATCAAATTTAGCTCGATATTTCGTATAGGTCGAAAATCTGGAAGAAAAATTTAAGAGAATGAATTAGAACAGGAAAAAAAGTTAGGTTAGGTTGAAATCAAGGATGCGACTACCGTGGAATGCGATGCGAATCGATTTAAAGGAAGAACGAAAAGGAAAATTCGAGTAGATTTTTTCTATGTTTCTTTTACATAGAATGATAAATATGCAAATATCCGTGTCGCGTTGAGGAGACGCGTTGAAATAAGAATAATCCCACTATGGTCAATTTTATTGGTTCGACTTCAACTTCGTTCGAGTGTATCGATTATCGGTTGAGTGCAACCTCGTAAATATATAAAAACGTCAATTTTCAAACGATATCGATACTCGATGCTTCACATTCAGGGCTCGTAGGTGGAAAAATTGTCCACCAGTTTTATGGTACGCGACGAAGCCGTAAAAATGCCGGCTGTTCGCGTTTACGGGGATTTTTATGAACACAGTCGTCCCTCGTACACGTATACGAGTTGGAGGTATTCTTTGTTTTAATTTAATTGGTAATTTTTTTTTTTTTTTGGTTGAAATATATTTTTCTGAAATGGTGGAAGAAAGTGAAGATTGAAAATTTGTTTAATATAAAAATATAATTAGAATGAATTGGAATTGTGCAAAGAGTAATAAATTATTTGTTAAAAAAAAGGTTAGTGATCAAAAAAGTAAAGATTTTGAAATAAATGTTATAATAGAATGAAACTGTAGAAAAGAAATTTTATAATATATATTGTAATTTGTTCTACTAATGTTATTTGTGTTAGATATAAATGACTGAAATATAAATGAAGATTATATGAGAAAGAAACTTCTTCGTGATTAAATGTGAATTTTAAATAAATAATTAAGAATTAATAAATAATTAATAAGTAATGTGTAAAATGTGTAATATTTACGATAATTCTTCTTCTATTTTGTAAGGAAGCAGTGAAATTTTCGGTGATCACGTGAGAAGCCTTGTATAGATACAGCTGAATTATCGAACTATCCCTACTAAAGAAACCTCTTCTTGGCACAGCAAGGGGTCTCAAATTCTTAATCAATACCATACGTTTCTCAAGAATGTCATTAAATTACATTTCGTAAACTGTGGTTTAGTCAAACGTCCTCCTAAATATCATTTTGACGAAATTTAATAACAATTTCAATTAAATCGAAAAATTTATACTCTTGTTAATATCAATTATCACAATATCAATTTTTCAAATTCACTTAGCAAAAACCTGTCACAAAAAATCACTCTCACTAGTAACTTTATCAACTTATATGAAATCTAACCTCTTAACCTATTAACATAAACAGTTGGTTAAATTAAAACCTATATCGAAATCTAAAATTCTTTAATTCGAATGCTACAATAAAAATATTATCGAAATAAGACTATTATTATTCCATCTCCTTATTATTACCAGAATCTAGAGTTATATAATTTAAATCTAATTATCGAAAGAAACTATTTCTTATCCACTATTATCACTTTAATATTAGGACTTACCATTATGTAAAATCGTATCGACAAATTTCCAATTTCAAAAACCAAAAAACGGATAATCCAAACCGAGAACACGAGAAGTTCGTTAAATCGGTCACTCGAGAAGTAGTTTGAGAACACGGTAGAAGTTTCTCGGTGAATAAAACATGTCCGCTCGATCCGGAAAGATTGAGGCGCGAGGAGAAGAATCGGGCGAACGTTGAGACCCTGACGAAAATGTGTTGAATTATTGAGAGTTCCTTCGGTAAAAATAGCGTGATTTCCGTGTGAAAAGTTGCAGTCTATCTCAATTTCGATAGACACGCGTCGAATTTTGAAATGTGAAATTTTTCCTTTTAAAACGATCTTGTGATGGAGATATAGATGGAAATTTATATGAATTAAGAGGCTAAAACTATTCACTCGTAGAACGGTAAGCGTAAATGTATTCTTCGCAAGATCTTCGTTCTTGAAGAAATATCTCGAGATACTGTTCACTGGAAAGAAATTTCGCAGGACGGCATAGAGTCAACAGAGGTCCTTCGCTACGATCGCCTATCCCCACTTCAAACGCTTTGTTGACAATCCTGACACCACGCGTAGCTATGTAGTAGTAGAAAAGCTATAATTATATACATATATATATATTCGACTACGAAATAACGAAGCTCTATATATATATGCTAGTAGAAATAAAAATGCGTGTGAAAATAGACGTTTCGCGAGAACTTCTTTCCACCAGTGAACGGCATTTTATTGTAACAATTGTACTGTCTTCATAAAGGAAAAGTTTTATAAAATTTATTATAGGTATATATCTATAATATTTTTTATAATAATTTCAAAAGCTTTCGTCTTTCCATTCTTATAGAAGAAATTACTCGTTGGAGAAAGTCTTCGAAAAGTTAATAATTAAATTTCATTCTACACAAGGATATTCTCAAAAATTATTATTAAAAAGTGACTGATCCTTTGCAAATTTATTTATATAGAACTAAAAATAATATAAAAAGACAGTAAATTACATATCAATAAGTTTTTTTTGAATATAAATTACATAAATACAATTATTTTGTTTCTCAATTTTTATCGATAATATCTTATATTGTAATAGAAATGTTCGTGTACAAAGATCCGTAAAAATGTCGACAGTATAATGGAAACGTCAATTCCTGTAGCGTTTGGAAAGTATCGAAATGATGCAAAAGTGTTATAAAAACGGTGCCAAGAATATTCGCTTTTCTGTAATGTGTATGCGCACACATACTTGAAACGTGTGTGGCGATCAGGTGCAAATAGATGGAAAAACGGGGGGGAGGAGGAAAAATTTTTGTTTTTATATATAGACACGAGGGATGAATACAAAGTAATTGTTGTGCTCCTTTAACATGAATGAAAAAAAAAAACACACCATTACGGTGATTGGCGTTTTCGTAATAGATTCATCTTTTTACTATTTTTTTTTTTTTTGCATAATTGTTTTAAATATTACGACACTCTGTTTCTGAAAATAGATAAATCTTTAAAGTGTTGCGTTTATATATAAAGTCGCGACTCGTATATTTACGTTTGAATATATAACGCGATCGCTGTTTCGTTTTTGTTTTGTCTTTTCTCCTTCAACCGTCGCGTCGTACGACGCGACATAGCGAGCTCAGTCGAACAAAGGCATCGGCACGATTCACATCTATATAACGCGTTTATTCGTATTTCCTTTATTAAATTTATTCTTTCTTACTGTATATTTTTTTATATATATTTTTTAATTTATATTCATTCTTCTATATTCTTTATTTCAATCAAGTCAATTCACAACTCATTTTTTAATATGTGGATAGATTTTTTGGATTTATTTTATGCTGATTGAAAGAATTCAAAATATCTCTACTATTTTCGTAAGAATTTAAGTAATTAGAAGAAATAAAATTTTCTTTATTATTTATTTTTTTCTCTCGTGGAATCTCATTTCGTTTTCTTACATTTATTTTCTTTCTACTAGACAAGACATTGAAATAAGAACAACTGATTACGAGCGATTCAACGATTGGTGGAAGGAAAATATAAGGATAAGTCATGTAAATTTAATCGGATTTTAGTGAAATTTAAGATTAATGTGTCGTCGTCACTGTTCGTTGTATCCACAAAGTTCAATTATCTTTTGAATCAACGATATCTAAAATGAAATTTTGATACTCGATAGCTATTTCGAGTTAGTGAATGCTACACTGAAAGTGACAATTACTCTCTGTTTTACCTTTAATGCGAAAAATAAATACTCTCGAGAGTAATTCTCAAATGGATTATCTTTCATGGACATTATGTTTTCATGTTTGTTAGATCTTCATATTTATTTATTGACTAATTAACGAATCAATACTTGATTACAATCTGTAATATCTAAATATCTATTTTACATACAAATGATTGTAATTAAAAATTACGAAAGTAAATAGGTATACGTAATTATATTTCTATCTCGCAAAAATTAATTATTAATTTCGTCGAATAAATTCTCGATAATCAATCGAATTTTTATCGAAACAAAAAAAATACGAAATCCGTCATTTTGATTGTTCTAACGTTAAACATTCACGATTAAAAAGAAAGAAAGAAAAAGGAAAGGAAATGAATCGGCCGTTCGAAGATCAGAATTTTTTCACAAGCTGGAAGACCGATTTCCAACGATTGCGCAGTAACAAGCTCACGAATGAAAACAATTTTACTTGTGTAGTGTCGTGTCGTAGCCACCGGACCGTGTTAATAAAACATGACTCACACAAGAAACTTGTGTGCGTTTACGGAAATTTAAAAAAAAAAAAAATCATTTCTTCGAGGAAATGCGTTTTGTCAAGTATCTATATACATATATATGATATATTTGTATCTCGAATCTGTATGGAAACTCGAGGTTGATCAAATAGCTATTCCCAAGAGAGAGAAACGAGACTACTCGTCATGGTCACGTAAACGGCTATTGAAAATAATTGGTAATCCGTTTCGTTCCGGCATACCGCCTCCGGGGGGGTTAACCGATCGAGGGAACGAGAGATGTTTTAATGGTTTTGGAAAAAAAAAAAAAGGAAGAGAAAAAAGAAAAAATCATCCCTTTTATCAATCTTTTCAACGGTTGAAACAAAAGAAAGTTCGGAAATCAGAACTGTCTTTTTTTTTATTATCATCGAAACATTTTTATCGCTTATACATCGATATTGTATAAAATATTCCATAATATGTAAAAATATTCCTTTTATCGATCTTTTT